CAGCGTAATGGGGAGGCTATGCTGACAGCCCCGGACCCCTCAGGGTGCCAGGAACCTGGAGTTTAGGTGAAAGCTCTCAGCTGTAAGTTTTGGCCATTAAGGTGGAATTTCAATAAAAGCAGCTAGCTGGCCCTGGGGCTGGCTTTTTGGAAGCTTCTCCGGCCTTGGAGTGGGGCGCAGATACTGCCTGGAGACTTTGAGGGGAGACAGGGAGAGGAGCAATGGGGAGGCAGAGGGACGGGGGGCTGAATCCCTGAGGGCCCGGATGGGTCTCAAGACAAGGGGGAGTGTCCCAGCCAGGCTCAGCCTGTGCTGTCATCAGCCAGCCGCCCATGCCGTGCGGGGAGCTGTCCCACCAGCAGGAGGTGGGGCCCCTTTGGATGTGAGTTCCTGCCCCTGCCCACCCCCAGGACCACAAAGACCCCAACTACTGGACCCAGGCCCCTTGCTTACCCGGGCCTCTCTCTCGGCATCCAGCGTCCCGCCCACCTGCTCCTGGAGGAGGGCATAGGCCCGCTGCAGCGCCTGGTACTCTCTGGTCAGCTGGCAGAACCGCAGGTCCGACTCCTCCCGTGTCGTGGTCTGGGCGTGAGGGACGACAGGGGCCTGTGACGCAACGTGGTGTGTGATGCAGTGTGACGTCACGTGTGGCAGGGCCCAACATGTGTGATGACAGGTGTGATGTGGCACGATGGCCCCACCTGTGTGATGTGCAGGGTGACATGGTATGGTGTGACCTGGGTGATGGGGTATGACACAGGGTGCTGTGACAGGAGACATGTGATGTGATGTGTGACAGGTGTATGAAGTAAGGTGACATGTGATGTGTGTGGAGTGAGGTGACCCGTGTGAAGTGGCATGGAGAAGTATCATGTGACATAAAGCTATAACAAAGTGCTCTGAGCTCATCAGGCTGCCCCAGGGGACTCAGCCACCACCCTAAGGCGTCCCTAGAACCGTAGCCCAGCCAAGTGGGGCTGGGCTGGACTGAGTGGGACTGGAGCCCCTCCCTGCCCATCTTGTGTGAAAGGGATCCTCGAGCCCCTACGAGAACCTGGCATGTGTCCCTGGGAGCTCCCCGGGGCAGCAAAGAGGAAGAGCCACACTGGGGCTGCATTTTCCAGTGGCCACCTGGACCCTGGGGGGAGGCCAGCCTAGGAGACCCCTGAAAGACCCCCTCCAGGGTTGACAGCCAGGGTCTGAGGAAGGGGCCCCTGGAAAGACCATTCAGAGGGGGGGAAGCAAAAGCCTGAGGGGGGCACCCTGAGAGACCACTCAGGGGGGACAGCAGAGGGCTGAGGGGGGATCCCCTAAAAGACCACCCAGAGGGCAGGACAGTGGGGTGCTGAGGGGGGACCACAGAAAGAGCACCCGGAGGGCAGCATAGTGGGGGCCTGGGAGAACCCCCTCGGGGCACGGGGCTACAGCAGGGCGGCCCACCTCCTCCATGTCCTCCTCAGGAGTGGCCGGCGTCCGGTCTGTCCTGTCCGTGCCGTAGGATGTCTCAGACAGCGTTTCCGAGTCCACAGATTCCTCGTCAAATCCAAAAAATGTCTCCACAACATGCTTCTGGGAGACAAAGTGCACACATCGGGGGCCAGGCTGGCGGGGCCCCAGGCCTCTACCCCCACCAGGCAGACAGCCAGGAGTCTCCGGGCTGACCAGCCCCACCCGCTGGGTAGATGGTCACAGGGCAGCCCCTGGAGTCCCCGGGGGGGCTATGAGTGCGGTGCAGAGGTGGTGTAGAGTCAAAGGTAGAAGGTGGCTGACTGAACCCATCACCACCTGGCCCTCGAGCCACAGCCCCTCTATACCCAACACAGGACTGCCTGCACCTGCCTACACCATGGGCTCTGAGCCTGCGCCTGCCTACACCATGGGCTCTGAGCCTGCAGTCTGCCTGCACCACTGGGCTCTGAGCCTGCAGTCTGCCTGCAACACTGGGCTCTGCCTGCAGCCTGCCATAAGCCTGGATCCTGAAGGGGCTGAGAGAGGGCTGCCTGGCTGAGGAAAGAAGAAAACATGACTAGCTTTTGTTGTTGTTCAGTGCCGTCGTGTCTGTTCTGACCCATAAGCCCCCTATGTACAACTGCACAGCCCCGAGCCACCTCCCAATCCCTGTGACGTCTGAGCCACGGCTGCAGCCCCTGCAGTTGCTGTTAGGCACCCTCAGGTCAGTTCCGCAGCCCCTGCAGTTGCTGTTAGACACCCTCAGGTCAGTTCCGCAGCCCCTGCAGTTGCTGTTAGACACCCTCAGGTCAGTTCCGCGTCCACCAGAGCATCGGAGCCTGCCTGGTCCTGCAGCACCCTCCCGGGGTCCAGCCCGCGAGCCACCTCGGGGCCAAGCCATGTCACCGAGCAGCCTCCTCTGTGCTGCCTGTCTGCTTTGCCAAGCACTGGGAAGAGTGGGGATTCCCGGACACGTCAGGATGGGATTCCAGGACGCATAACTGTCCAGGCGGGATCCTGGACTCCAGAGACTGGCCCCTGACGGGATGCCCAAAGAACACAAGACCGCCTCTTGTCCTCGCTTCTCAGGAGCAGCCTGGCTGTACCGCTTCCAAGCAGACGTGTGCGTCCTTCTGGCTGTGCCCGGTGTATCCCATGTTCTTTGTCGTCACCACAAGGAAAAGACATCAGTTCTTCTTTGGTCTTCCGTGTTCTTTGCCCGGCTTCACGTGTGGCTCAAACCAAACTCGCCGCCGTCCTGTCGACTCTGGCTCAGAGCAACGCGATGAGGCAGGGCAGGGCTGTCCTGCGGGTTTCTGAGCCTCTTTACGGAGGAGAAAGCGGGGTCCAACTGCTGACCATGCCGGGAGAGGCCCTACGAGTAACCCCAAGTCTTGAGGGTCCTTCGCATACCTATAAGGTGGATGGAAAGACCCTCATCAGGGGCACCTTAACCCTCCAGGTAAAATCTTTGCTTTTGAAACTTGAAAGAAGTCTTTTGCAGCTGGCTTGCCTGATACATTGCATCATTTAATCTCTTCATTCCTACTCCCATGGCATTGACTGTGGACCCAAGTGAAATGAAATCATTGGAGACGAGTATTTTCTCCATTTATCATGGCGTTCGCTGTCTGTTGGTCCGGCTGCGAGGACTTTGGTCTCTTTATGATCTTTGTCAATAGTGCTTCAGGACTTCCTCGCTTTCAGCAAGCAGGCTGTGCTGTCTGCACCGTGCAGGTTGTTATCCTGCAGGTGAGTTCTTCTCGGGGTACTTGCTCAGCACACGGGTTGCATAAGTGTGGTGAAGGGCACAGCCCGGAGGCCCACCTTCGGAGTTTGAAACCACGTAGTAGCCCCTTGATTGGTTCCAAACTGCCTCTTACTTTGGGTATAGGTTCTGCGTGAGCACAGTCAGGTGTCCTGGGGTCCCCATTCTTCGCAAGGCTATCCCTAGTTTGTTAATGGTGCGCACAGTCGGACATGCAGCAACCCTCTTTCTGGTGCTCTCTGCCTTCAGCCAAGGACCGTCTGACACCAGCGATGACACCCTGTGTCCCACGTCCTCTCGTGAACGCTGTGTGTGCTACCACGGATATTGTCCCATCACTCCTCGGGCCGCCTTCCTTTGGGATGGGCACAGATCGGGGCCTCCTCCCATGGGACGGCCGTCTCCCAACATCTTGGCTTGGATCAGTAGTACTGTGGGAACGTCTCATTCTGACCACCCCAGGGCTTTGCTTGTCCCCAGTGCCTCCCGCGCAGCGTGGACTTCTTTCAATCTGATTGGTTCCTGGCCATATGCTGCTTCTACCTCTTGAAATGGCCGAACACCAACCAATTAAAAACAGAAAGACGTTTATAAATGGTGCATTAGGTAGGGGGTTGCATTTCAGGTCACCAGTTTTGTATTCCACAATTTAAACTGCTTATGAAACCGCCATACTCGTCTTTTTGTGGGCGATTCATTTCACGCAGCGCAACGTTCGTCTCCAGGGCCATCTGTGCCTCGGCGGGCTGCTCAGGGTGCCCGTGCCCTGTTGGTCTCCTGATCTGCTCGCGCGTGGCTGTGGCTGCTGTCAGGTGCCATCAAGTCGGCTCTGACTCACAGCCACTGTACACAACAGTGGACACGAGACACTGGGTCCTCCTACCATCGCGCTCATGCCTGAGCCCATTGCTCCCCCGGCTGTGTGCGCCCATCTCCTGGAGGGCCTCCTCTTTCTGCGGCCCCTCCACTTGACCAAGCTTGGGGTCCTTCCCCAGGGACTGCTCCCTCCTGACGACGTGTCCACAGTATGTGAGGCCACATCCTGTCATCTTGGCTTCTCAGGAGCACTCTGGCCGCACTTCTTCCAAGACAGAGCTATTTGGTCGTTCGATGTTCTTCTCCAGCCCCGTGGGTGATTCAGATGCATCCGTTCTTCCTCGGGATTCCTCGTTCAATGTCCACTTCCACGTGCACAGGAGGTGGCTTGGTTCCCAAAAGAGGTCGTGTGCAGATTTACCCAATGCAGTGCGTCATTTCACCTCTCTGCTGCTTCCACGACCATTGATTGGGGGTCCAAGCAAGATGGAATCCTTGACAACTGCTCCCTTTTCTCTGCACCCCACCCACCCACAGACAGCACGTGCTCCTGGACTCTGCAGGCACCCATAGACCATATACCCCTGTACTCCCCCCCATATACACACACCCCTGCACCAACACCCTCTACATTTCACATTCCACACACGTACACACCTACACACAACCCTACACCCCATACCCCTCACTACACACACACACACCCCTGGTGTGCCTGTCCTCTGCAAACTCCCATCCCTCCTGCTCCCCTGAACCTTAGAGCTAGCTGCCCTTCACAGACTTGCGGCCCCTTTAGCACCAAACCACCGGTGCCGACGGCCTGGCCGGTGACCATCCTCTGCAACCCCGGGGACTGCCCGCCAGGTCCTCCTTACAGCCTGATGCCCACACGCTTAAAGCCAAGCTCTTACCATTGTAAACAAGTACCTGGGAACCAGGGGAGCCCCAGATGGTAACACTGCCACCGCCCCAGGGACCCAGCTCCTGAGAAGCAGGCCATAGGGGGAAGGAAGCAAACCAGAGGCCTCAGATGCTGACGTCAGTCCAGCCCACAGCGCCATCCACCCAGCTTCCCAGACACCCCTCCTCTCGGACAGTCACCCTGGCCGACCGGTCTGTTAAGGGCTGGTTGTTGTTGTGAGTGTCTGTTTCAGATGAGAAGCTGATGTTGGTGTATTTGTGCGGTGCCATCAAATCGGCTCCAACCCACAGCGCCCCGTGCACAACAGAACGAAACACCGCCCAGTCCTGCACCGCGCTCACAACGGTTACCGCGCCTGAGCCCTCTGACGCAGTCAGTCACCACCCATCTCGTCCAACGCCTTCTTCTCTTTCACCGCCCCACCATTTAACACGCACAACGTCCTTCTCCAGGGACTGGTCTCTCCTGACCACATGTGCCAAGTGTTAAAGACCACATCTCGCAATCCTTGCCTCTAAGGAGCACTCTGGCCTTACTTCTTCCAATATAAGTCTGCTTGTCCTTTTAGCAGTCTACGGTACTTTCAGTACTCTTCTCCAGCACCATAATTCAAATGCATCCATCTTCAAGGGCCTTCCTTATTCAGTGTCTGTCCCGTGCATGTGAGGTGATGGAGAGCACTATGGCTGGGTCAGGCGCACCTTAGTCCTTAAAGGAACGTCTTTGCTCTTCAATACTCTGAAGAGGTCTCATGCAGCAGATTTACCTAAGGCACTACATCTTTTGATCTCTTGCCTGCTGCTTCCATGAGCATTGATTGTGGATCCAAGCAAGACAAAATCTTTGACAACTTCAACCTTTTCTCCATTGATCATGATGTGATCTGTTGGACCAGTTCAGAGGATCTAGGTCTTCCTCACATGGAGTCGTCATCCACGCTGGGGCCGCAGTCCTTGATGCTCATCAGCACGGGCTTCAAGTCCTCCTCTCTGTCAGCAAGCAGGGTTCTGTCATGTGCACACCACAGGTTGTCCATGACCTGCCTCC